GGGGGGCCCAGCAAAGTGAGGGCCCCGCGCAGATTCAAATGAGACCTCGCCATCCCTGGGGGGGGTGCGATCTGTGAAACTGTCGCCATTTTCGAGGCCTGCTGGGGGGCCCAGCAGAGTGAGGGCCCCGCGCAGATTCAAATTAGACCTCGCCATTCCTGGGGGGGCTGCGATCTGTGAAACTGTCGCCATTTTCGAGGCCTGCTGGGGGGCTCAGCACAGTGAGGGCGACGCGCAGATTCAAATTGGACCTCGCCATCCCTGCGGGGGGGTGCGATCTGTGAAACTGTCGCCACTTTCGAGGCCTGCTGGGGGGCCCAGCACAGTGAGGGCCCCGCGCAGATTCAAATTAGACCTCGCCATCCCTGGGGGCTGCGATCTGTGAAACTGTCGCCATTTTCGAGGCCTGCTGGGGGGCCCAGCACAGTGAGGGCCACGCGCGGATTCAAATTAGACCTCGCCATCCCTTGGGGGCTGCGATCTGCGAAACTGTCGCCATTTTCGAGGCCTGCTGGGGGGCCCAGCGCAGTGAGGGCCACGGGCATATTCAAACGAGACCTCGCCATCCCTGGGGGGGCTGCGATCTGTGAAACTGTCGCCATTTTCGAGGCCTGCTGGGGGGCCCAGCACAGTGACGCCACGGGCAGATTCAAATGAGACCTCGCCATCCCTGGGGGGCTGCGATCTGTGAAACTGTCGCCACTTTCGAGGCCTGCTGGGGGGCCCAGCACAGTGACGCCACGGGCAGATTCAAATGAGACCTCGCCATCCCTGGGGGGGTGCGATCTGTGAAACTGTCGCCATTTTCGAGGCCTGCTGGGGGGCCCAGCACAGTGAGGGCCACGCGCGGATTCAAATTACACCTCGCCGTCTCTGGGGGGGCTGCGATCTGTGAAACTGTCGCCACTTTCGAGGCCTGCTGTGATCACCGTTTTCGAAGTGGCTAGGAGTGCTCAGGAATTGTAACCAATAGCTTTATCAAGCCCTTTTCCTGTAGCCAGTGTCCTGCGAGTCTCCCGAATTCCGTCTGCAGACATATGTAACCCTCGTTCCGTCCTCGCCCGCTTATAAAGTATCCTAATCTATTTGCGCCCCGC